TAACATATAACATATATAACATATATAACATAGTATTTCAATTCTGTTATTTTACCATCATTATCTTAACTGAATGATCAAGCATAATAATTACTTTGAAAGAGGAGCTAGATTACCAGCTCTTGGCTTAATATTTAATATTTCTTACTTGAATGTCTCTAAATCATAGAATTAATAAAAATTAAAAATGTTCACTTAGTGGTGTTCATAAGTTACATATATGCTTTAATACAATGACCCATTCTCTGACCTAATTGGTGCTCAATGGAATTGGTGCCGGTTACTGTTATTCATGAATAAGCTAAGGATAATGAAAAGTAGGAAGGCGGCTGTGGAGGAACAATGGGCACTCACTGGTGAATCCGAGCTCTGCTGAATGGGCCAGTGTAGCAGGCAGACTCCTCTGGAAAAGCTGATTTGTCTAGGACCATTGGGTTATGGGACATCCACTTTTTGATTCTTTTGAAATAATTTTGTGCCCTAGAACCAAGCCACATTTCAGAAGTAGATTAGGTTGTATTCCAAAGTTATGTCAGCCTTCTATGACAGTTTTCTTAAGTATTACAGAAAATAAAAAATACACAAGACAGGCAGACATCTAAACTCCATACACACACACACACACACACACACACACACACACACACACACACGCACACACTTCTGTTTCCACATAGAAGAATAAAATTAGAAAGTAAAGAAAAATTGTGCATATTTAAAATCTTTCAGAGAAATTATATTATCCTTGTAGAAAATATTTTTAAATTACCATGCATAAGATGTTGGTAGATGAGGGTATTCTTTGAAAAGCAGCACAATGCATTTATTAATGATATATGTGTCATTAATTTATATATATTTCTCCCTGATTCTATTAAAATGTGTGGATTTACATACATATGAATAGCCTATATATATACTGATTGTGCTTGTCAACTTGACACACCTGCACAACTGGGTTGAGGGAGCCTCAATTGGGGAAATGTCTCCATTGGACTGGCCCTGAGGCCATGGCTGTGGCATATTTTCTTGATTATTGAGTGATGTGGGAGAGCTCAGCCCACTTTCTCCCCAAGTTAATATTGGTCAGAGTGTTTTGTCACAACAATTGAAAAGAAACTAGAATGCTGATATTAATCATATTCATTTTACAAATTAAAAAGTAAATAATAAGAAGAGACAGCTCTTCAGTATTGATTCTGAAAATCTAAATTCTGTTGCTCTAACAGGAACTGTTTTCACTAAAAATATTATAAAACATTTCCACACTGAAAATGATATCTGTCAGGCAAATTTTGGTATCTTCTTGTAATAGATAAGCCAAAGTAGCAGTACAGATATAATACATGCTTGGATAAGTACCACACTCTTTCAATATTTGTTTGGCCAATTCTATTTATACTTCATTATAAAATAAGAGAATAAAAAGCAATAAAAATAGGAGAATAAAAACCATATCTTAAGAATTAGTTCATTAAGGTTTATTATGGTAAAATTTCCATGAGGAATTTTAAGTAAGAATCAAACCCTACTGTAAAGCTCAGGATGTAAAAATCTTGCTTGTTTGTTGACCAAGCAGGACCATCACTTGGATGCCAAGTTGTGTTTAATTTTGGAGGGTCCACAGCATTTCCTGTTTGCCTAAAGTAAAATGCAGTTTTGGAGGTATATACTTTACTGATTCTCATCATAAACAAAGGCCTCTGAAATCATAATGTATCACCATCTCCTGAGGTTAGTACACAGATATGGAGACAACATTAGATGGATTGTAGATCAGTTACTCTGGAATTCTAAAATTTAACATTGGTTTTAAAAGGTAAAGTGGTAAAGATGAGTGTCTCAGTCTGGAATTTGTTGGTTGCACTGAAACTAGACAACACAGTGCAATGTTTGAGCTCATGCTCTGAGGCTCTAGAGAGAGGAAGGGATCCTACTCTTTCTATTTTGCTAAATAGCCAGGAGAACAACGGGGAAAAGAATGTCCAACTGTATTCAAAACATGCTGATCTGCCACAGCAACTCAGAGGCTACAATTTCTGGCTACAATAATCAAGAAATAAAAGTGTATTTCTAAATTGGAGTCTACACTTCATATTGTTAATAGAAAAAAATATGAATTTCATCCTTCATGTTCTTTGTGGCAATGGTAAAAAGGGTCTCTGATGATGAAGTATTATCAGTCCTGGATTTGCAACCAGGATCTACAGCCTAATTTATTTTCTTCTTTGAGCCTCACTTAATTTTTTCATTATTATGTGAAAGGATATTTTTGAGAAGTGGACAGCACATGTAAGATAGAATGCATTCAATTATGTACGATGATAATAGAATTGAATGTTACTGCTACTGTTTGTAGTGCTACAACCTTGACAGCATAATCTAACACATTATTTAGTTTCAATAAGCTTTGATCATGCTGTACTTCTTATAACTCTAAGTTTTGTCATATAACATGAAGATTATTACAAAATCAGGGTCAAGCTAAGAGAGTACTCTGGAAACTAAAAATTAGATGGAGTAAGGGGTTAAAAAAAACCTGGTTAAAATACAAACTGCCGAAATAGCTGTGAAACTCTGGCAGGGATTGGGAGTAGAGATGCTAAGGGGGTTTATTATTGTCGTTCATATGCAAAGCTGCCTAATTTTTGTTTAGTCTTCCTTGCAGGCTGTTTTGATGATGCCTTAATATTTGAATGTGAAATGTGTTGTAAGTAGAAATTAAATTGCTGCAATTATAAGGTCCTAGTTGTTCCCTCTAAAGGAGCCTAGAGACATGATGGTCTTCAAAAACTGAATAATTGCCTATAAATTATTTATCCCTTGGTATCCTCTGCAAGAGCAGTCAGTGCTCCCAACCACTGAGCCATTTCGTAACCTCTGAGCCATTTCTCCAGTCCCACCATTATTTTTAAGTCATTTAAATATTAGTCATAGTATTCTATGACTTTTCTTATTTCGTTATGAAATCCTCCCAGACTAAAATTTAAGGTTTAAAAATATTCTCTGATCTTGATTTATAAAGCTTAAAATTATATTTCTCTATTTTCCTCAGTAAAAGAATTGATTTATCCAGTTCTTTCCTAAAATGACTGTCAGTCACAATGGATGTTTTTATAGCTTTGTGTCATTCTGACCTGTCTTATTCTGCCACGTTACTCATTAAATACACTGCCATGTTGATTTCCGCCATGTTTTCTCTTTATTAATTATTTGTTTTTTGCAATGAACAGAGACATAACCAAAATAAAGCCTTTTGTTTGGGCACTCATTAAATAGAGCTCGTTTATTATAGTTAGACAAAACTAAGGAGATTCAGACAGAAAAGTTTCTCGGTCTCTGGTTTGTGAATTAATTTCTTTTCCATAGCTAAGCTGACCACAATAGGTGAAGAGCTAATGTGTTAAGATGAAGTTCTTGGAAAGTTCTTATTTCTTGCTATAATAAGAAAAGAAGCAAAAGAACACTGCAACGTAAAGGATGCTATTTGTCCTTAGGAAGCTGCTGCTTTGTTCTGGAAGCCAGTCCTTACCATTACTGTCAAATAAGAAAGTTGGATTTAGTGACCCAGAACTTATTTCTAGGTCTACAGTTTTATTACTATTGTATGTCATCATTTGTCCATTAACTCTCATTTCATACGTATTTAAAAATTTTATAGCTCCTAAGATGCTAACGTGATTGGAATCTTCCTTCTATACCATTATTTCATAGAGGATCTCAGGAACAGCCATCGTAAATAGGAAAAAAATTATCTGCTTCCTTTTATAAGTCTCTGGAAATTGCTTAAATAAATCAACACGATTTTATTGCTAAAATTTGTCCCTGTTGATATTGATCATCAAGCATCTCCTTTATTTTATTTCAAAATAATAAACTAGTTATAAAGAAATTATGCAACATCCACCAACCTGCTCACTGATTTGTTCTTCTGGTCAATGTAATAACATTTTTTCCTGAAAAAAAAAATAGAAATAAGCTGAGGAAAATATAATTCAACATGCTCCTAAGAGCATCCAATAATATTGAGTTTAGCAATGCTCTGACTTCCATATGCTAAAAATTTTAAGATATTTGGAATCAAGCCATTACATTATAACATGAAAAATAATAAATTCATACAATTTAATTTCAGAATGTAAGTCTCTAATAATAAACTTAAGAAATCTAAAGAATCCTTTTGAATATATCATTTTAATTGGAATACCTGTCTTCTGTCACTCAGTGTGTACATACTGGATTGCGTGCTAACATGTTCTGTATTGTCATCAATTCAACCATCCATTTATCCATCCATCTATCTATACATATATGTAATAAGTACATCTAATTTGATAAGAAATAAGGTATGTCCACTAAAACTGTAGAGAGAAATGGTCTCTTCTCACAGGGAGATTCCTTTACCATTCAGGTAACAAGTAATCAGCTGTGATTAACTGTGATAATGCCAATAAGCAGACACTAGCTGCTCTTGCAGAGTTGATTCGAATCCCAGCACCAACATGGTGGCTAGCAACTATTATGACAGACTTTATCTAGGAAGGGAGTCTCAGTTTGTTTTTATATAGAGGGAAGAAAGCCAACTGAATTTTTCCAGGAAGAAGTTGCTTGTGTTGATTCTTGAGACATGAGTAGCAGTAAACCTCCAGGTAAAGTAGTTCTACCTGGATTCTTGATAGATAATAGAATATAAGGTGACTAACAGTGCAAGTCACTGTAAGGTTTAGGAACTGCTGCTAACTTGGTTTAATCTAGATCACAGAAAGTGAAAACTACTGTGTCTTGCTAATTTGACATGGTGTCAAACTGCCTCCTAAATGTTCTTGCTTACACTATAGGCAAACGCTACTCTCAGTGTTGGTCAGTGAGGCTTCTCTGCAGTGAATGATCATGAATGTAGAGACTCCTGGCTGCTCAAAGTGAAGAGAGTAGGAAATGCTGACTGCTCAGACTCAAATAAGTCATTATTTATATGACCCCACAAGGCGCTGAGGAAATGGGTGGAAGAGGGAGTGGAACAAATGTAAGAGGGATGACTGAGACAAGGACAGGAAAATGCTATCATCTGGGCACAATGCAGCATGGCAGTAATGAACATATAGCAGCTGTGGCTGTCTTCACTGGGCCTGCATGTGACTAGGCCTGTCAATGGGGAAGGGTTCATGGGAACTATTTACTATTGATGCTTTCTTGGGAAGGGGGCATCTTATCTTGAGATATACATCTGAATATTCATTGGTGAGCCCACCAGCTTCTAATGACTAGTTTCACATCCATGGCCTCATGGACATTCCTGGTTAAACTCAATTGCTCACAAAAGAGAATAAAAAGACACTACTGTAAAAAGGGGCTTGTAAGAAGAGGGGAGTTTTACAGAAGTGTGTGGGACATAAAGGGAGGAGGTGAGAGTAATCAGATTGCATTATATACATGCAATGAAATGGTAAAAGAATAAATTTTATGATAAAAATATAAAACTAAAATACTAGGGGATATTCTGAAATGAAGAATGAGAAAGAAACAAAAACCATCACCGTAATTGATTAATGCAACACAAATGAAGAAAGATCTTAGAAGTAATGCTACATTTGGGGGCTGGAGATATGGCTGAGCACAGTCTGCTCTTGCAGAGGACCTGGGTCAGTTCCTAGCATCCACACGACAGTTAACAACTGTCTGTAACTCCAGTTCAGGGAATCTGGAGCCTTCTCTGACCACCATGGGTAATTCACAAACCAGGAGCACTTACATACCTGCAAGCAATACAATCATACACATAAAATGAAAATAATAAATAAAATATTTTTTAAAAGAAGTAATGCTGTTTTTTTTGATAAAAAGGAGAAGGGAAGAGAGTTTTAAGCAGGACTGTCAGAGATTTGATTGCAGAAGGTAAAAATTCAAGGGACAGTATTTCATTTATTCTCTGACAGATTTCCCCTATAGCTTCTGATTGGAGCTTGGGACTCTGATATTTGGGGTTTTATAAAGAGCCCCTCTAAACTGGGTATGGTAGTACTTGGGAAGCAGAGGCAGATGGATTCCTTTAAGATCAAGGCCAGCTTGGTCTACAGAGTGAATTTTGGGCCAGCTGAAGCTACAGAGAGACCCTGTCTCAAAAATACCAAATAATTAATAATAATAATAATAATAATAATAATAATAATAATAATAATAATAATAATAATAATAATAATAATAATAATAATAATAATAATAATAATAATAATAATAATAATAATAATAATAATAATAATAATAATAATAATAATAATAATAATAATAAAATGCCCCTTTATCCTTACCATTAAAATCTACTTCAGAGCAACAGTAAACTACACAATGGAATAATTAATAATCAATAATCACTTCTGATTGTGTTATGAAATTCTTAGATAACTTTTTGAGATACCATATTTAATATCAGTCACATGTTGTATGGTTTATCTTGGTTGATAACCTGCCTTGATCTTGAATCAATTAAAAGACAAGATGCTAGGTGCTCTGGTGAGAGATTTTCTTAATTAAATTATTTGCAGAGGGATGACACAGCTTAAATGGACTGAGCTGATACTGAGTTCTCATCCTTTCCAGTGTGAACAGCTGCTGTTGGACTACCCAGACTGCATCATGTAAGCCAAACGTCCCTTTTAAATATACATCTTTCTATAAGTTCTCTTCCCCCACAGAACTCTCATAAGAATTTAAAGTCTCTTTGCCATATCCCAAAGCTAAATTCAAATATGAAATTTTCAGTGTTGCTCTTTCTATCCTAAGCTAGCATTTTAAATGTCTTTCTTCATTTTCTTCAAACATAGACAAAAGTTGCGTATGCATGCACTGTTGATTTTGTATTGCCTGTAAGTCCATCTTGTTTCTGAACTTCCTCTACACACACTGTCTTCACCATTTACCCTCATGTCATTAACTGTACCCTTGTCTCCATAAGTATTTCTAGAGGACAAAAGTTGCAGTTCTGCTGGCTTCACATTTGATGTGTCCTTGGCACACTACTTGGAAAACAGCACTCAGATGGCTGATGAATGAATGAGCTTTTGTGTAATTCACAATTCAGTTTTCTCCTTAAATACCTAATGGCATTTTGCATTTAACAAACATTTGTGAAACAAATAATTCTTTAAAAAATTTTTACAGATGTATAAATCAATTTAAAGCAATTTTCAGTATGAAAAACTCCAGGAGCAGGATCAATAGGAGCCAAAGTTACAGCAGGGCACAGCGGGGTGGGTGCTGTGTGGGTTAAACACCATTCTTCAATGCAGATATTCTGAAATATTTCTCATATATTCTTTTTAAATGTTTTGAAAATGCTTTGAGAGAAATAAAAAATGGAAGCAAAGTCATAGAAGACAAATAAATATACTTTCTGGACTAGTAATAAGACAATAGAAGTTTAAAATCAGAGACTTAATTCTTCCTCCCTTTTCTAAAACATTTGCTTAAGAAAATGTCATTGTAAGTATTTTCTCCTCCTTTGATGAATGTATATAAATTTTCCAGGAAAACAGACAGACTCCTTTTCCTCTTTACCTTACACTAGTCTTCACCAAGGACCTAGAACCATGTCTGTGAAATGAGAGCACCTGTGGAGATCGCCTAATATGGTGGAGGTTCTACCTTTAGTGGAAGCCTTGAAACATCTCATAAAACTTCCTGTCAGTAGAAAAGCTCTATTTTTCTTTTTCTATAGTCATTTAAAGATCTAATCATCTGGTGAATCTAAGATGAATTAAGTTCAACTATTCATGTGTTCACATCTTCTTACATTTTGAGAATATAGATGCAGGGCTTATATCAGATTGGTCCCATAGAATGGTAAGATTTCTTTTCCTTTTTCAATCTCGGAGTTTTTTTTTTTTTCTGGGTTGGGGTGTTGTTTTCAATTATATTTTCCAAATAGTAAACAATGTAAGCACAGTCTATGAAGTCATAATCAACTGGTGTTCTCCTTCCTTTGCATGTATGAACTTTCAGGACCAATTCTTTTCCACTTATATGGCCCCATCTTGTGATTTTTAACTGCGTGTTTCCACATGCACAGCTCTCCTTATTTTCCATTATTTTCCTATTAGGATTCTGTTAATTTACACTTGTATCAAGGTTGCATTTTGTTACCTACCTACCTACCTACCTACCTACCTACCTACCACATCTGTTACTTAAAATTTTAAGTAATAATGATATGAATCACTGTTTCCAGTGACCTCCACCCATTCAAGAGCCACTTGTGAATACTGAGGAGCCAGGAGAGGATGCCAGGCTCTGGGTTGGATGTTGGGGGCAGTTGATCTTCACAACTTGAGCTGTTTTCCTTTCACACATTTTAAATATAAAACCAAACAAATAAAATCAAAGATGATGTTTCTTTATCATCAACACCAGAACAATGTAGGGTACTTGCTGAAAATATGTGCACGCAATTCCATCCTGGATTCAATGTGCGAGAATCTCTGCATGCAGCTTTCAGAATTTTCAATCTTATTAAATTTTCCCAGAAAATTTAACTCTAAAAAGTTCTATAGTGAATAGTTATTAATTCAAATTTTAAGAATAATCTTGGTCACAGGATATTCTTTAAGGACTTGTAGAACTAGTCTTGCTGTCATACTTTGATAAATGCTGTACATTTTCTAACATTTGATTATTACATTCTGAGGATGTCGATGACACGTCCTAAAAATTTCAATAACGCAGCAATCATAAACTTTTTAAACATAAGAGAACTTTAGACATCAATAAGAAGAAATTATAAATTCATTAAATTTAATTTTTTCTATTTTCTCCTTGAATATATGCATTCTCTTTTCAAATGTGGTCTTACCAGGAAATGAAAACATGAATATAATGTTTAAAAAGCTATCAGATGAAGAAAAAAGCCTTCCAAATGTCTGCAGAATGGAAGGACATTGTGAAACTCAGCTCAGAGACCTATCCTCTAATGAACACAAAACGATGTCACTCACAGTGGGGCAAAGAGGTGTTTTTAATGCATTTCTTAAGAAAAAGAACAAAAGAATAAAATGTAATAAAGATTATTAGAAAATTATGTGAACATACCAATTACTCAATCACCAAGTTTCTGGATCTTTTCTCAAAATGGGAGGAATAATGTAAATGACAGAAAAGAAGGCAGTATGCTCCATCTCCTTCCAGTTTTTAAAATTGAATTAAATCCATGTGAGAATGGAAATATCTCTACAAAAAGCATGAATACGGTGCTGAAAATTTTTTCTCCTTAGTTTTTGTTTTGCATGTTTGCCAAGGTCATCATTTTTATCTGATTGTCAATAGTGGGATATGAACTTAAAGAATTGCAAGCTAGGTAAATGCTGAACCACTAAATTTTATTTCCAGTTATATCCACAGACTTCTTCCTCCTTTATGTTTTGACACAGAGCCTTACTAAGTCGCCCAGGCTGATCTTGAACACACTCTGTAGGCCTTCAATTTGTAATCCTCCTATCTCAGCCTCTCAAGTAGATGTGATCATCTACTTGTGATCTGGCACCAGGCCTAGGTATTTTTTTTTTCAAGATCTTTGTGGTTTTATTCGCTTGTTTATTAAATAGTATCTCCAAAGAAAACTTTAGAATTTATAGTCTAACATTAATATAAACTAATTTAGATAATAAACCTAATACTGTCAGCAAGGTTTTGCAGTAGTTTCTAATGCTTAATATTTTATTTTTGCATAGTGACTGAGGTTACAGCTTTTAAAGCTTGAACCGTTTCAGGTGTCTAAAGATATGTGCATCAGCATCTCATCCTGTTGCTCTAGGGTCTTATGAACCTACCTCAGTTGGCCTCTTACATGCTACCAACTCTGGAAACTTGTCTCATATTTTTGAGTTGCATTCTTTGTCCACTCTGCCTTATTAAAGTTCTTTTACTTGGAATCTCACTTCCTCTGAGATTTTTAAATCCTTAGCAACTGATAAAATTTATAATGTAAAAGTTATTATTGTCAATATGAGCTAACATTTTTTATAAAGTGTGAACACCATTGAATTTTACTTTGAAACATGATGGGTGAATTGATACATTCTGCATATAACACCAAATATTCAAGGTAGGCCAACAAATTTCTTTTCCACCTATGTTTGCCTAAAGTAAGGACTGAAAATATTTCAAAGAGGCTGATTTATTTTTATCACTTATTAATACTGAGAATGTAGCTTTGAAATGGTCCTGGATGACCTGTACTGAAAAGTGATTCTTGCTAACCACTCTCAGAGTTATATATACTCGCATGAAATGAGCTGAAATTGACCTTGGGACTCACTAAAAGTTAAAAATTTGAAATAACAATTTTACCTTATCTGTAGACAAATCTCCTTGAAATGATATAAAGTATCCAGGGAATCAGAACGCTTACCACATTAGTCAAACAAATTTGAAAAAAAAATGCTTAGGATAGTCTAAAATTTAGAAGAGAAATAATTTTCTCCCCAGAGAGGACCACATATAGTTGTTAGGTATTGCAAAATACAGACTCACCTTAATTAAAGTGAGATAAAATGAAATAAGATATAAAAGTACCTGAAGGGCATTCTGATATTCAGTCTCTCTGCATACTTGCATAGTGTGTCCCATGGAATGTGGATTTTAATAAACATGATATCAGGGTTTGCAATAGCTGGCTGTAAAGGACAGCAGAGAAGCACCATTATTTAGAATCAGAATAGATTATATTGCAACATAATTTGATTTGACAGGAAGGACAATCATCCGCTTAAAGGAAAACTATATAGATAAAAGTATTCTTAAAATAATTCTTTAAAGTATAATGGTGTCATTGAGACCTGCATACTTCGTATACACCTGTACATAATTTTCTTCTTTGCCAAAGTATTCTTTGCTGTATTTAAGGAAATAGCTCCAGGGTCCACTCAAAGTTGGTTGGTGTAGCCCCCCAAAAACTTATTCCTCTGAGGGATGTAAGCCAGCCAGGGGCGGAGAGTTAGCTGCGGAGAGTTAACAGCCTGACAAGAGATTGGAATGAATGGAGGAGGTATGCGGCCCATGTAGAACATGGCCATGATGTCCCGCAATCGTGGAAGCGAGATGGGGTATTTACAGACCTGAAACAAGACCTAGGGCCAGGTGTGGGCAAAAGCTAATGGAGAATGTGGGCGGGGCGTAGAAGCCATTGGAACTGTGTGGTTTGTTAGTCACTCCACACTTCCTACCATAAAGGAAACCCCCAAAATAAAAATGTCTTATGTAAGTTCTGTGAGCCTGGGGCCTTGGGAGGGAGCCTCCCAAAAGGTAAAAGGTAAGAAAATTTAATGTGATAATTGGGCACTCAATGGACATGCATAAAAGAAGGTTACACACCTAAAGGATGAACTTGTGATATCACAAATGCAAAGTTCAAACCAAACATAACTCCCCTGGAAAGAAACATATGGCCTGTGAATAGGCACACTAGTCATCCATGCCTGCACAAAAGATCCTGGAAGGGTCCCCTTCTCTTGGTATAATGAACACAGTGCTCTTGCATTCCTTTGGCTTCCCCCAACCCCATTCAATTGGAAAGGCAGGTTTGATATCTTCTTGTTGGTCAATCTTCAATAAAATCTTTACTTTTGTAAAAACTTTGTGCCATAGCCGACTTCTAAGTACAAGGGATAGCAATCTCTTATGCAGTATCACTCCAAATGCTTTTAGGAATTTAAGACATATTTATATTGATCATGATCAAAACCTAAATTGCCCAGTCAGAGCAACTATGAGCCAACTAAGAATTTCCAGTTTATCATGACCAATTCTTACTCAGAGAGGGTACAAAATACAATGAATTGCCAGCAGTCGTTATTTATTAATTCATTTATTCTTTTGCCACAATTTATTTAGTAACTACTAAATCCTCAAACTACTTTCTCTGTCTTGTAGATCCATCCTAAAGATAATGGGCTGTATGAATGATAAGGAGCTCTGACCTAGTGGACTCTCATAGTTTCATGCTTAGTGAGGGCCTAGCAGTTTGCAAATCACTACACTAAAAACAGTAAATGGCACATTCAAGTCAGCATAATTTGAGTATTTTTTCCTACTTGAGATATTTTTGCTTCTAATCACAGGTAAAATATTGTGGAAATTGTAATTACCAATTCCAGAAGAGATATACTATACACAACTTTGAATTAGTCCAACACTAAGCATATTACCTATGCTTGGGAAAGTATATATAATTTTAAAAACCACTATTGATTCATGCAAATAACTACTTAATGGGAAGGTTTCTACCTTTTTAAAGATAATATATTTTAATGGTTAGGATGAAACTCCCCTAATGAGTGCCTGCCTGGCATGCTTCAAGCTCTGTGTTTGAATCCATCATGAAATCAAATAAAAATAAATAGGTAAACAAACATTTAAGACATGAACACTTTAAACATTCTTCTATGTAAATGATTCTTCTATCCAGAGCAATTGAAAAACACATTTCATGATTTGGTATGATTTTTGCCTAACTGTATAAAGCTATTTTCAAGTATCAATAAAGTTCCTGCTTTTGACACTGAGGTATTTGCTACTCTAGTATATCAACCCATCTTTCATTTATGGAACACAATTTAAATTCCTTTAATCCTGGCTATCTATTTAGAATTATAGGATACTGTAACAAAATTGTGGTGTTTGAAATCCTGAATACTTAGACACAAAATCCATCTGTACTATTTATTATCTTTTGGTTTTTGAAAAAAAAATGGCTGCCTGATCCTCAGCTTCTTTACAGAGAAATGAAGAGTCTCTGCCTAAGAGCTTAGAAAGGGATGACTGAAGGCATGAGGTACCTGCTCCGGACAGTTTTTGCATTTCTGTTGACAGTATACTTCTCAAATCAGATGGTGTTCAAAGCAAAGATGAATATTGAAGCATCCCTAAAATCTTTTTCTCTTTTGACTCCTCTGTGAGTAACTACCTGATTCCTCTGTAATGGAGCCTATATCTTCGTTTTGTACACTTTCTATTCAAGGATTTTGGGTTATATAAGCATAAAGCCAGCAACAACCTATGATTTGGAAACAAAACAAAATAAACAACTATCCTCAAATTCTGTGAGGTATAATGACTTGAATCAAGGTGCAAGTTGAACAATTAAGTATTTTTCTTTAATAATATAACTTGAGTATACACTACGAAAACAAACAATAAACTTATATTTCTATAAATGTTATTTTCTGAGAAAGTGCTGCCACTCTCCATTGCCTGTATTTAAAATGTACCTTGGCATATACAGTCCGCCACAGTCCACCATTCCATCACTATCTCACTCACAACTACTTCCTGCTTCTTTCCTTCTTAGACCAAACTTATTTTTCCTGCAGTGTTTGCCCTTCTATATATTTATGTGCTGCAAGGGAAGACACATTGTTTTGTTTATTTGAATAGTCAAGTGTTTACTTCTATGTCAGACTCCCTTTAGACCCTCACTAGTCATGTATTAAATAGATGAATGAGTTAAATTGTTCATTTTATTTATTATTGTTGTTTGCTTGTTTTCAGATAGGCTCTCACTATGTAGCCCTCGATGGAAAAGAAATTGATACGTAGATCCTGGTGGCCTCCAACTCATGATCCTCCTGCCTCATTCTTGTATGCTGAGGTTGCAGATGTTCATCACCATGCATGCTGTGCTAACTTATTTCGAGCATACATTTGATATAGTATACTTAGGCAAAAAAAAGGGGAAAATAGGAAAGCCAATAAGTCTGAACTAGTCTGGAGTCGGGTACTATGTCAGGAACCAAATTAGCACTATTAATAGATTTCCTCTTGCTGATTATTAATCACTGGCAAGCCATTGGCTGGGAAATAATCTAGTTACCTTAAGTAAACGATGTTTTGGAAGGAGAATTTTTGCATTGCAATGACTATTATTGGTGAATAAAATATCAGGCTAACTGCACACAGCTAGAACATGCCACATTTTCATGTCTTGGCTTTAAGTACATACACAGTGGAAGATCTTTATAACTAGTATGAACTGCTGCTTTTTTTATAACTTCCTGACTTAATTTCTCTTTTGTTATACTTCCAGTTTAAAACACAAAAGACAAGTAGTTTCATTCTTTGTAGGTAGCAGGCACTATGGTGCTCTGGTGACAGGACTGCGCTACCAGGGAAAAGATTACCTTCTCCCTTAGCAGCAAGAGCTGCCAATCCGCTCTGTTCCACTCATCTCAGATGAAAGACTGCTTTTTAGAGTGAACAAAACACCCACAACCTTCACACTTCACATTATTATTTAATTATTCCACCCCAAATTCCCAAGAGGTACCACATTCACTCCTGAGAAGGGGAAGCTTAGAAAATTTGTCTTTTACAAAGTTATTTTGTAAGATGCAAAGCAAGGAAAATAAGATGTTGTCTGTCAAAGTTCCAAATCTAGGAGCGTGAGAGAAGTCTGTTATGAAGTACATTACAAACTACAGACTTTAACAATTAGAAATCACCTTCCTCTGCATAAGGAAGGCCCTTGAATAGGCATTAACTCCTGATGGGACTACCTTTTGGATACTGTCCACTTAGGTATGAAATTTCATGAGTATTTGAGGTCTCTTTGCAAAACTCAGTGTTTAGCTCTGACACATGTTTATGTATAAAACATGGGAGACTCCCTAACCTCCATCTTTCAGCTAACAAATTCATGCCTTCCAACATTTTCACAATACCGTTTTTCCTTTTCTCAAATACTCCCCAAATATTTTCAACTCAATATTGATCAAATGCAATTGCAACTAAAGGCCACAACTTTCTACACAGAATCTGTGTCCTCCAATGAACAGACCTCTTCTGGGCTAGGACCTCCCCATAGTGTGTGATCCTAATGACCAACTCCTCTCTTTGACTCTTTAGCTCTTGCTCTTTCACTAACCCCTGATAATTTCACACATCTTTTCTCCTCTTCTACTCTTTTATGGGCTTATCCTTCTGCTTCATTTGTTTTTGTCCCAATGCATAGTTTATATTACTATTTATATTCTAAAAAGTCTTCATTTGGGCCCTAGACTTCAAACATCTCTACCTGTAGTTCTCAAAATCACCCCATTTAATAACTTTTCATGCCAATAAAGTCTATCCCTTCCAAAAATATCTCTCTCTCTTCACTAGTCAGAATTAGTTACTGTTGGCATTTCTCATTCCTCCATCTTTTTGTGATGGAGTCTGTGTGGTGAATCATGGCTGTCAGCTTAATGGGATCTGGAATCAACTAAGAGGTCCGCTTCTGGGTGGGTCTGTGAAGATATTTCATGGAAGGATTAGCAGAGGGAGGAAAACTCTACCTCAGTGTGGGTAGCACATTCCAGTGACTGCCCAGCTATAAGAAGTCTGAGGGAAACAGCAACAGTTTTTCTGCCTTCATTCCTAGCAGGTGAGTGAGTCTCATTCACTGTGATCACCCCCATACATCACTGACAACAGAACACAGATTCTTTGGCCTTCCAACCTGGACTGAGAACCAGTGGTTCTCTGATTATATTCCAGAACTTCAGCATCAGATTAAGACACTGAGGCATATCTACCTGTGTCAGCTTAGCAGCTACTAGGTTCTTAGCCTCTCCAGTGTGCAAATAACCATTATTGGACTACTCATCCCAGATTTTATAAGCCTTCTAACTAATCCCCTTTGCAATATCTATTGATGCCATTGGTTCAGTTCCTCTAGAGAACCTAATATAAACTCCTCTTTAAGTCAAGTCATTTTCCTTCAGTTCACACATGCAGTAGAGCACCTGGCCACATTCCATATATAACCAATATCTTGTTTAACTTATTACATGAGTGTTATACAACATCATAAAGAAATGACTATATATAATTAATATATACTAATACAATTTTTAAAATTCTCTCTCCCTCCATCCTTTGTTTGAAGTACAGACATATTTCCTTAGTGAGGACCAGATGAAATTTCATTAAGGCTTTTCAGAAGGAAAATATAAAAATTGCTGCATATCAGCTTCAACACTAATATACAGTCTGGAGAAACATGTTTCCCTTAACCTTTTTCCTTAGCAAAGGCTTTACACTAGACCATTTATTTTAACTTGAGACACCTGAGAGGAAAGAGAAATCAGGGCGGACAACCCAATCACTACTGTGTATAGGGGTGGCTGGGCCAGTAAAGCATTCAGTTGTTCTGAGTGCACTGACTAACCCAACGTTTCCTGGCTCTTTACTGAACTGTGGGAAATAAATCTTAAGAAAGTAAATTCAAGTTAGAAGAACTAAGTCCTAGAGCCCAGAATGAAACACCACTTGTCCAGGAATAGCAGTAGATGAGAGGGATCTTTCCAGTCCTGTGCCAATCTAAACAAAACACCTTTGGAAGTAGTAAAGAGTCAAGGAGCAACATCTCTTGGTTAGTGAGAACAGAATGTTATTTAAGAGTAACATGCATTACACCTCTTGAGAACAGTTTGGAGGAACAAAGGAGACTCAAAAATCTCTGGACTTTACAAGAAGACCAAGTAGTGGTAGGTTGTGACCATATCTTACAGACACTCAGTGTTTAAGTCTGGCCTCTGCATATTTAGTAAGCTCAGTGCATCAGTGAGGAGGCCTGCTTTACATACGGGGTTCCCCACAAGCTTGTTTCTGCTTTCCAAATTATTTGGTGCGTAAGTAAATAGGTGAACATATTGGAGCAAAATTACTGCCCGTATTATAATAGCTTCTGTGTAAAAACTGTTTTGGGTGCAGTTGGGAAATTATCAGTCTTATTTGTGGGAAATCATAAGGAAATTAAATAAATAAAAGCTTGCCACAAGACTTTTTTTCCATAATTAACTCTTGATATTAATAGTCACCAGATGTTCTAGTTAGCTTTTTTTGTTATAATAAAAAGACTGACCAAAATCTTGGAGCGGAACTTGCAGCTTACAGAGTAGTTTATCCTCAAGGGAAGTCAAGGCAGGAACTCAGGGCAGGAACCTGGAGCACAGACTATGGAGGAGGGCTACTTGCTGGCTTACTCCTCTGGCCTGTGCTAAGTCTGCTTTCTTATACAATACAGGACCACCTGCCCAGGAGTGGTGCTGCCCAGAGTGGGCTGGGCCCACCCATGTCACTGAATAATCAAGAAAATGTCCCACAGACATGGCCACATGCCAAACCAGGAGTGCCAAGTTGACAACTGAGGCTATCCAGCACACCAGGAATAGGGATACGGTGAGTCAGTGGCCTCAGAGAAGCATAAGAAAGAAACAAGGAAAACAATCATAGGAAACAGAAGTCATGCTTTCACTTCCCAGTTCTGTGTCACCTGGCAGTTCATAGTTTCCTACTCAAAGGTTGTGTCGTGGTTTAAACCATTGTGTTTCTGCTAATTGGTAAATATTAAAATAGTTTTAATACTGTAAATGATTCTTTTGTCTATGCCAATGCCAAGTTATAGTTTAGGAGTTCCTAACAGTTGTTATTCAAAAAATTAATTTCAAAGCATATTCTGTGAATGAAAAATGAAAGGAGGCAAAGGCAGAAGGCACCAGGTCATGCACTGAAGTTACTACAACACTTTGCCAAACCTCATCAGAAAATAATCTCAGTAGCCAACCAAAGACATCGTTTATACCTTGAGATTTTAAGAAATCTAGTTAAAACCTAGCACTTACAAATTCAAACATTTAACTTGGAGAGATGACTTAGAAGTTAAGAGTACTGTCTGCTCTTGTAGAGGACCTGGGTTTGTTGAAGCACCCACATCACAGCTAACAACCATCCATAACGCAAGTTATAGGGGAATCCAATGCCCACTTCCTACCTCTATGAGCATTGTATGACATGGGCTCACTTGCATACATGCAGGCAATACACTCATACATACACATAAAAAATAAAATCATAAATAAAGTATTTAGAAAAAATAAGTTCTAATAAAAAAAAACATTGTTCAAACATTCTAAAATTTCTTTCAGCAGTTGACA